GGTGTACCAAAAGTGGCAGGTACATCCAATTGTTGCACGAAAGGAACCCATTGTATGTATAAAACAGGAATGCGTGAATTGCTTGTTTCGTACTTACCTCTTTAACCAGCCGCGCCCAACTCGGAACTGAGCAGGACCATGTAGCGACGAAGTGAAGTCAGTGGTCAGTGGTACGTTACCTTACAGGATCGCACCAATTCCTCGGTATGTTTACATTCCTGATCGTATGTACACGCTATTCGTATTATGAAGAGCTCATACACGGTGTTGAAAATGTATCGAACAGCATACCACTGAATTATACTGGACGAGTCATGGAAAGAGGAAAGCGCGACCGTCTAGACATGTTAATAATAATAAAGATATCATTTCGTTTATTAGTATAACATATCTGGCATTATGCATAGAAGTAATGAAATTCCACTATTAGTCGGTCGGTGAAATAGAAAATCCTACAAAAATTGTTTTCTTATTCACGGGTACGATAATAACCCTTAAATTCATTTCTATAACTAGAGGGAAAAAAATAGAGCGTAAATCTCGGAGTAGTATATACTAAAATATCGTAAAATGTGCGTGTCGTAAATATTATCTCGGAAGTTCAACAATCGACCAGGAACTGCTCTATTTCGATCGGTTAACCCAGTACATATACGAATATATAACGGAGTAGATATGTTAGTGGCAGGGCCGGTATAACATTATGCGGGGCCGAGTTCAAAAATTTTGCTGGGCCTGAATTCACATTCAAATCCTACAAGTAAATTTTGCAACGAGGAATTATTTATTTACAATGATATATATTTTTTATTGAAGATGAATATTAAATGATAATACTTTGATGATTTATGTTACTCCTTTCAATGTAATCATCGTTACTAAAAAAATGTCTTGTATCTCAGCAGAAATTGCTTCCATTTGTTGTATCATCAGTCTGTAAAAAGTTTATCAACATCGGTACCTTTTAAATCATTAATTTTCGTAGTCCGCGGGGCATTTTAAAACCCGAGGCTGGTTTCCAGCAAACGCGCAGAACCTGCCTTACGCCGGCCCTGGTTATTGAAATCGCCAATGTAAACAGTAGAGGCGACAGTAGGCAAATCCAGAAATCAATTAGTACAAAGCATTACTTCGAAAGTTTCTTCATCGTGTAATTGTGATAGTGGACGTGATATTTCGTCATTATCCAATAATACAAACGAAGAGTATTTGACAGATAAAATTTGTTATACAATCATATTATTCTGTACTAATATAAAAGATATGTTCCAAACATTAATAGTTAACAGTAAGGTGTCTAAGTATACCTACAGTGACAAATTGAAAAAAGGAATAGGCCTCGTCTGCACTTAGCGACTAATCGAATTAATTGATAAATTGAAAAAAGGAATAGGCCTCGTCTGCTTTCAGCGACTAAGTGAAGTTAGCAAAAATTTGAAAAAATTGAAAAAAGGAATAGGCCTCGTCTGCTCTTAACGACTAATCGAATTAAATGATAAATTGAAAAAAGGAATAGGCTTGATCTGCTCTTAGCGACTAATCGAATTAATTGATAAATTGGAAAAAGGAATAGGGCTTGTCTGCTTTCAGCGACTAATTGAATTAAGAAAAAAATCGAAAAATTGAAAAAAAGAGTAGGCCTCGTCTGCTTTCAGCGACTAATTGAATTAAAGAAAAAATTGTACTTGTATAAAGTGACAAATTGTAATTGTAAAAAATTGACTAGAAATTACTGTAGGAAAAAGAAAAAATTGACTAAGTAGACGAAATTGTAGTTGCATAAAAGAAAGTAGTAACTATGGGTAGGCCTACAAAAAGGGCATCACTTATGAGAAGGAACCGTGCAAATGAAACCGAGGATGCTAAAGAAATACGCCTCGTAAAAATCGTGAAAGAAATGCGAAGCAACGGCGTCAAGAATCTAATACCGAACGTGAATGTAGATTGTCGAAAATGCGGAAATATATGTCTTCTAGATTATCAAGCGAAACGGAGGAAAAGAAAAAGCACCGTATGAATTTAATTCATAGTCGTTTAGTTAAAGAAACCGCCGCGGAACGATCACATCGCATCAATCAAATTCGGCTACGTTTAGCGAATGAATCTACCGAAGAAAGAGCACACGTCGTATGGAAGTAATTCGGCGACGTATAGCGAATGAAACTATTGAAGAAAGGTCACGTCGCATCGAACTAATTCGGCGATGCATAGTAAATGAAAGTACGATACAGATAGCTCTGCACAGGTGGAAAATGTACAAAGGGTATCAAATGTTACTCCACCAAGAGAATCGAATGAAACGCATATTATTTTCGTAACAAGCATGTTACAGTCGGTAGATGACACTATTCCAAATATTGACAGTATCGTCGCCATTAGTAATTATGGTAATAATAATAATGAGGAAAATGACGTAATACAGATGGCGAATATACATAGAAAAACAGCGCCACCTTTAAACATGGAAAGGGAGAAAAGGATGGAAGAGCTGTGTTGGTTTTTCCTGTTTCCTGATGGCAGAAATGGGTTCGGAGAGTATCGCGATATACCAATAACACCACTGGATTACTTCCAAGCACGCATTCTGAGTAACGACAGACGATTTCAACGAACAGATTACTTGTTCTTTGCACTATCTGTTGTTGAATATTACCGCGCAAAAGCTAGCGTCTCGGTATCGTGTAGAATGCGCCAAGGGGAACACACTCCAACTGGACTAATAGATCATATTCACCTAACCATGAGAAACATACGAGGTTCGGCATCATATTGGAGACGATGCTGTCCCGAGCTAATCGTCATGGTGCGAAGTCTTGGACCGCCGACATGGTTTGCTACATTTTCCTGCAACGATCTGAATTGGCCAGATATGTTGAAAGCGTTCCTAATATCGGAAGGCCGTTCCTCCGAGGAGGCTGGAAACATCACATTCACAGATCGATTGAAATTAGTGCAAAGATACCCAGTAGTTGTAGCAAGACAATTTACGGTACGCGTTAACGCGTTAATGCAGTATATAAAGGGCACCCAATGCCTAGGCGGCGTGGTTATCGATTATTGGCATAGAATCGAATTTCAAAACAGAGGGAGCCCGCATTTGCACTTGCTGATTTGGTGTGCAAACATACCGGATTTCCTAAACAACGAAGGGGTCAATGTTATCGAGAATGTTGTATTGTGCTCAATAGAAACCGCGGAACAAGATGTAAGTAACATAGTTGAAAAAGTCCAAATTCATAAACACACTAATACTTGTTACAAAGATCGAAATAATCGTTCGTGTCGATTTGGTTTTTCCAGACCGATAAGCGAACGAACAATGTGCCTAGGTCCTGACGACACACTTGCCAACAACGGACGTTTCTGCGTACTGAAACTAACTGCGAACGAAATAATGGTGAATAATTATAATCCCGCTCTTTTAATGATATGGGACGCAAATATGGATATTCAGCCATGCGGAAATGTTACTGCTGTCGTATATTACATTGCTAAGTACGCAAGTAAGCCGCAGGACTCTGGGGATGTTATTAAAGATGCCGTTTTAAGAGCCAAATGCCGGGGCGACGGCACTTGAAATCAACTGTTTTCGGTATCTATGGCAATTCTGTCACAACGTCTGGTTAGTGCAGCAGAATGCACTTACCGATTATGCCACCTGCCATTGAAGATGAGTTCCCGGAAAGCAGTGTTTATAAACAGCTGTCGGCCCAAACAAAGATACAGAATTTTGCGATTTGAAGATAATGAAACATCAATTCTCAATAACATATTTGATCGTTACGTACAAAGGCCGGACAACCTGGAAAATCTGAGCTTGGCAGAATTTGCTATTCGATATGAAACAATTTTAGGTGGAATGTGGACAGAAGAGGATGGCGACGCGGAACTTAGAAATGACGACGAAGAACCTTCACGATCGAAGTATATAAATTAAAGAATAATATCCGAATGCGAATAAGGAATAAACCAGCTGTACTCCGCCACCGATATTATACTTTGAATAGTGATAGAGAAGGGTATTTCTATAACTTAATAGTGTGTCACATTCCGTTTCGTAATGAAAGCACGCTTATGGCCGAAAACGAATCTCCCGAACAATGTTTCCATCGACGTCAACACGAAATAAAACCTATGTCGGGAAATGCAATCATCGAACAGTTTACTTACGCAGAGCAAATTATCGAAGCGGCGCTCGCACACGCTGTAGCTTTAAATGTTGTACACGAAGATGAAAGTAACGAACAATCAAAAGAACCAAGAGCCATTCATGCCGACGAAACAATATATTGTGATCAAGTGCCTGTGATCAACAGCCTGAAACAGTTGCAATGCCGGAAAACTTGTTCCTGAATAGTATTCGAAGTCTGAATATTGAACAGAAACAATTATTAAAATCAGTTACTGTAGTAATCGAGAAAGACATTGATAACGATAACGATGAATACAGTAAGGAACAAATGTTGCTTTTTATTACCGGGGGAGCCGGTAGTGGAAAGTCGTTTATTTTTAAGTTACTTGTTGAACATGTTAAACGCTGCTATAATCCTACAGTTGATACAATGGTAAAACCATCTCTCAAAGAAGTTGCTTCTTTGACTGGCGTCGCCGCCCGACAAATTTTCGGGAAAACTCTACATTCCATGTTCTCGTTACCTATTGAAAAAGGTGCGGCTATAACCTATCGCCGGCTGACAGGACAAAAGCTTGAACACGAGAGACGAAAGTGGCGACATACAAAATGGTTAATTATTGACGAGATATCAATAGTATCTTATGAGAATTTGCGAATAATTCATTTAAGGCTCCAAGAAATCAAGAGCAATGATAAACTATTTGATGGCATAAACGTACTTCTGTTTGGCGACATTATGCAACTACTTCCAGTGAAAGGGCACTGGTGTTTTGTTCAACCACATTGGTGCACTGCCGAAATTAATTTATGGCATCAATTTTCATTCTGTAAACTCACCATCAATATGCGGCAAAGAGATGATGTTGAGTCATCGACCTACTAAATAACCTATGCTTTGGAGAAGTGACAATGTCTCAAGTAGAGATGTTATGCGGACGAAGAAGAGTTCCCTTAACCGGAAAATTTGAGGATGGAGCAGCTGTAAGAATATTCCTAACCATAAAATTAGTGGATGAATATAACACCAAAATGTCTGATAAATTAGCAAAATCACGTCGACTGTATGTCATTGATTCAATAGACGAATCTTGCGAGGCAGCTACTTATGGAAAAAGACCACCACAAGGTGTCATACCTGCAAATGTAAATAACTGTGGCGGACTTTTACATACAATATTGTTAGTCGAGGGATCGCGAATCATGCTACGACGAAATATATCCGTTTCTGATGGTTTGATAAATGGCGCAATGGAACTAATAAAGAAATTTATATGGCCGGCACTTCGGTGAGATCAGCTGGAACAGGGAGAATTGCTGGACTCTGTACTTATAGAATTTGACGACAAATCCATTGGTAACAGGTTCAAAGATATCGACGGATACATTCCAATCTCCCCAGTAACCGCAACGTTTCAAGCAACAAGAGATTATGGAGACGTCGAACGCAGGATGTTATCACTTATACTAAGCTGGGCGGTAACAGTTCACAAATTACAAGGGACAACGTTAGATAAAGCTGTAATCGATCTGGGCAAAAAGAATTTTGATAAGGGTCAAATGTACGTTGCTCTTAGTCGTGTTAAAAATTTATATGATCTAGCTTTACCTGATTTAGCAATAAATAAAGTACTCAATAAACCGCACGACGAAAAAGCATTAGCGGAAATGGAAAGACTAAGGCGGCTCTTGTTAATACAGAGAAACACTCCAAATCATCTCCCAGCGAATGAAACACTTGGAAACAACTGAAGTACACTTTACCCTTAATCATCGAGATATTGAGAACGCCCACATTCAATTCACCAGCGATTCATTACAAGCAAGGTAATATTATTTAGTAATTACAACATAAAATATGTACCAAATGTAATTACGGGGAAAGCATCCCTGAACCTGAATGGCTAGATTTCATGTTTAAATATTTATAGTTTACATATTGTTTATAAGTTCTTTGTTTGTTTGTCTGTTTGTAAGTCAGACCACCAAGATAACCTGATACAGCATGTGGAAGACCCCACCCCGGTTAATAAACAATAAGAAAAAAATAGGAATTTGGCAATAACAATAGTTATAAACAATATGAGAGAAATAGAAATTTTGCAATAACAATAATTATAAACAAAAACAAAAATCATTTTTTGCAAAGTGATCACTACGAAAACGAGACCGGCAGCAAATGTACTGGGTTTCATCGATTTCATCGAATTCAGTTGGAACATACGTGAAATAGTACAATTTTCGATAAAAAGTGCAAGAAAGTGGTAAAAAATGAAAATAGGTCAAATGTCTTTTTAAGCTTTTAAGAGGCAACGAAGCCCCGCCAAATGCAGGAAGAATCAATCCGATTGGTCAATTCGTTACGGAATAAGAAACAATACAAAATTTTTCGGTTTTTTGCGAAAAAAAAGGGGTAAAAAAATGAGAAATTCCAAAATTTTTTGGTAATGGGACCACCTCGGAGATATGCTTTACAAGATGCAACAGATTTCATCCCGATCGGTCAAACCGATCTGGACGTAATCAAATAACATATATAAAAAATATATATATACGTGTCGAATTGAGTAACCTCCTCCTTTTCGAAGTCGGTTAAAAACCAAGATTCACAACACAGATAACTGCGACAAACGGAACATACCACGTACCAACTAACCTCAAACCGCGACTAGGCAAAAACTCAAAGCAGGAATAACCCCGTCGCTCACATACAGGGTAAAACCAATGCTCTGAAGAGGATAAATCCACATATTCGAATAACCTCTCACAACCACAACCAGTAGTACAAAAGTCCTCCATGCCCCTACCACAGCAAACCTAAAAGACATAACGAACTAATTAAAACACATCACATGCAGATAAAGCACCGGAACCAATATGAATAATAAACGACCTCGATATACAATGAACAACTACATACAACCAGAAAGCACAATATGAAACAGCACAACAAACAGAACCTTAAACCAAGACTATCAAACAGTATGGAAGACCGCATAAGACGATACATAAAACTATACACCACGACATCTACCGAAGCATACAGGAAGAAGCGAGATAACCCTATGACAACGCCACCTAACATCCCCAGATTCCCCTAAAACTGCAAACCAGAAAACAAGTCCAGAACACAGCACAAATACACAAACCAACACAACTAATATCACCAACATAAATCCCTGCCACCTATCTACCCGCAGAACATAATAGAAATCAAAAATAAACTGCTTCAATTCTCCCTATATCAAATTTTGAATGCGCAAAATATCACTTTGAACCTATAACCATCGCCCATTCCCCTAACTGCATTTTGGACCATGCTTATGTTTATGATGATACCCTTTCTTTTTCCTTAGCCTCAGTACTAATCTGTGAATAATCTTGGGAAATCTTTGAACTTTCATCCTAACATAATCTGAAATTCTGAATCAATATAGATCCATTGTCTCACACGCTACAAACCTTAACTTTCAGCTCAATAATACCCTCAGACTGTGACACTCCGCTTACGCCGCTAAGGATTATCTCCCACTTACAATTTTAATTATGTAATTTACTCAAGAACTACCGACTAATCTGGCTCCGGAACCATACAAACCTGCAGCTGAAGAATCATTAACAAAAATTTCCTTGGAGAGGTATAGCTACTCGCCTTTTTCTTGCCTCCCCAAATTCCTACTATTAAGTTCTCGCGGTCTACATTATCTACAAATATCTACAATCTTAATCCTATCATTCTTTGTATTTAACGTTTGTCTATCCTTAAATCTACACTTATGTCCCGGGAGATATCTCTCCTTATGACCGAATCTCTCACATAATGTATAGGGCTTAGTTTGCTTTGAATGCCTATCATTTTTCTTCCCACTGTTCTCAACACTCGAATTCCCAAAATGTCTTAATCTATACATCAAGTCATCCATATTGAAAATTGCTTTTCTCTCTAATTTATCCTGTACAATCTAGGCAACCCAATAACAATTAAATCTACTTGAGCATGAGAGTCACGGTATCATTAAGCTTCTAATAACAAACTTCTCCTCTTTAAAACATACTCCAGTGAAGAGCCATTCAAATACTTAAACTCACAAACATAAACCATGTCCGTCCAAGATTGCACCGAGAAGGTTTCTATAAAACTATTACTCCAAATATCTCAATTATCATATAAATCATTTAGCTCAATAATACTCTCGGAGCGGGTTACTCCGCGTATGCCTTTAAGGACTGTTTTCCCACTCACAATTTCGTTTATATCATTTGACGTGCTCAGGAACTCTCGACTAATCAATGATATATCTGCCCCAGAATCATATAAACCTACAGCCGGAAAATCATTAACAAAAAAACTTCTTTGAAGGGGGGTAGCTATTCGTCTTTTTCTTGCCTCCTCAATACCCATTAATAAGTTCTTGCGGTGTACATTATCTACAACTATCTACAATCTTAATCGTATAATTCCTCGTAGTTAACGCTTGTCTACCCTAAGATCTGCACATCTGCCCCGGGAGATACCTGTCCTATGACTGAATCTATCACATAGTGTACATGGCATAGCTTGTTACGAGCGCTTATCACTCTTCTCTCTACTATTCTCAACACTCAAAACTCCCAAAATGTTCTAATCTAGACATCAAGTCTTCCACAATTAGAATTGTTTTATCTCTAATTCATCCTGTGCAAGTTAAGCAATTTAATTACAATTAAACCCACTTGAACATTGAGAGTCATGGAGTCATTAACTTTTTAACAACAAACTTCTCCTCCTTAAAAGGATACTCCAATAAAGAGCCAATCAAATACTTAAACTCATAAGCATAAAACATGGCTGCTCAAGACTGCACCGAAAAAGGTCTCTATAAAACCACCACTCCAAATCGCCCAATTATCACCTAAATCATTCTGTTTAAGAAAAAAAAGGGCAACACTAAACCAGTTAAGAGTCAGTTTTTCAAAAAAAAAAAAAAAAATAATCTCAATGTCTCAACATATTTATTTTAGCCTATTTCCACTCGAGTACACTTCCAAACATAGTCAGTCAAGTAAACGCTATAAAACTCTCGCCGCTAAACTTCTCCAAATAATATATCTATCTAAACTACGGCTGCGAGGAACTCATCAATACCTACTCTAGATCATAACCGCATTACAAACTCTTGATTCAAGGTTCCACCTCTGAGAAACAAAACAACATCACTTACACAAAGCAACAAGAATGGTTTACTACCTTAATCACATACACGGTTACATTCTGACAGACTACTAAACCTAGGAAACTTAAAACGCATTGAAGCCACTAATTCACTCTCTGCCGCCTCGATGTAATCCGTAAAGTGCCCCCTATAAAAAACAAATTTGAACCCATTCGGTGGGTTTGAACTCATCCCCCTAAAATGTCCATACAGTTAGGCTGTCGGTACGCCTAAGCGAGTGCGACACCAGGACAATACAGAAACGAATAGAACAAAGAAACCCAAGTAACATAAAGTCACAACTGATATAAACATCCCTGCGTAATCAACTCCATACCTTCGATTAAAACACTGAGATACCGATCCAGATTCACATCTTCGGGCACTATCCTCGACACCATTTCATACCATGTAGACCCTTCCACTTCAGAATACCTTCTGACCTCGCGGTAAATCAGTCTACACCCACACTCCTCTATTCTTCATCACCCCCATTACACTTCTCACGGTCCCGTTGTACCGCTCTCTCTCAAAGACGTCCCGGTACATCTTCGAAATTCTTTAATAGCAGTACCGAATACACCTCATCTTGAAATAAGTAATCCACTAGGTCATTATGAACCTCCCATCTGACCAGATAAACTACCAATAATTTCCCCTTCTTCCCCGCCGCGAACATTAACTGGCCCAAACAGCAAGACTCGAGAATGAACTAATATCACTTTTCCAAACAACACTTCTCTACGCCACCCAATGATCGTAGCCATAAGCTACTCCCGTAGGGACAACAATGGGCATCCATTCCTCCTCCCCTCGCCCCCTCACTCTCGCCTTCCTCCCTTTTAGAAACATCAACGTACCGCAATCTTTCACTCAACAGTCTTCTGCACCCTACACAATAAAACAGAAAAACCTTCTTCAAATAAGGAATCATCAGACGAACAACAGAACACGACAACAAACATTGATCCCATCAAGCCACGAAACTGAAACCAAAATGGGAAGGTACCACCCCGACATCAACAAGATAATCAACCAACACTAAACCTAAGAAGTCACAACGAACACACGTCCCCATAACCTATACCAAGGACCAAGAAGACTACACAAAATGAGGAAGACAACATAAATATCAACCAGCAACAACCCTGTTCTAGACAACCCACCACGTACTGTGGGGACGACCCACCTGAGCGATGGAACACGCATTATACGTACCGCTCCTGGGAAAGACGGGCTCTGACCCCTCATAGGAACTGGAAAAGGATATCCAGCCTAAACGAGGGGACAAAGGGCCTAACTATGGGGGTGGAGGGAGTTGGAACAGGGACATCAACAACAAGAAGACCATCGAAACACCGAACCAACTAAACATCAAGAAACACCAGAACTTCAGAATATCAATATCCCCTAAAAAACCCAAGATACGCACCTGACAAACAACGATAAACAAAACAAAACAAAATGGAACGAAACAAACAAAAGCACACAAAATAGGCACAAAAGATCAACAAAACACATCAGGGCAATAAGAAAAAGAGATAAATAGAAGGAAAAGAAAAAGGTAACGAAGAAAGAAGAAAAGAAAGAAGAACACAACAACCAACAACGCTACAACCACACAACACCCCCCCCCCCACACACACTCCCCTTCAACAATAAATAATAATGAAAATTAAGATTCAAAACCACAAAACCAATAAGAACGAACAAATACATTAACCCCACCTCCCACTCGAATGGAAGCACCTCGCTAGCCGATCAGAGGAGCCAATCACGCGCTCAACCAAATCAACGAGCCAGAACCCACCAACGAAAAGAGAAACCATCTCACCGGCTCCAGCGGCGAGGAAGAGGATAGGGGGACCCACTACCTCATACATCCCCTCCTATCCGACATACATCTAGCTAGCCGAGCTACCTAGATAACGCTAACAAACCC